TCGAAAACCTTCGACGAGGGACGCCCACATAATGCTGGTCGCCACGGCGTGTAGGGCAGGGCCGGGGAGCGGCGACCCTGTCCAAAGCGTCCGTGGGGCTCCCCGGGTGGCGCCACCCGCTGCGGTGCCCACACAGTCGGAGGTGTGGGACCCCTGAAAGCCCGTGTGGGCGTCAAATCCCACACGGGTGTGTAAGGGGCTCGGAGTCTGGCCGGGGTGCGGTATCCCCCCGGCCTAAGACATATGTCCTCTCCCCGGGGGAACTTGGGGCCCGGCCTTGGGATGTGGCCGGTCATGTTTCGGGGCATCCCTTGGCCGGTGGGGGTATACCCTGGGGGACGGAGCCGCAGCGGGACAATGAGATCAAACCAAAATGATATCTCCATTTTTAACAAACAACAAGACGACGACAGAAGAGGAACGTGCTCTCCATCGGCCCGTACAGCAGAGAGAATTGAGGGTCTCTCTGCGGCGATTGGATCCGCGGATCACGCATATCAGATGGTCGGAGGTAGTTTTGGAGCGACTCGACATGCGCGCTTACATATCAAATGTCCAGCGATCCATCGAGGAGGAGGAGGAGGAGGAAGAGAGAGAAGTAGCGACGACGACGGCGACGAGGACTACGAGGAGGAGGACGACGAGGAGGAGGACGACGACGCGACGACGGACGAGGACTACGAGGAGGAGGACGACGGCGACGAGGAAGACGACGAGGAGGAGGACGACGGCGACGAGGACTACGAGGAGGAGGACGACGAGGAGGAGGACGACGGCGACGAGGACTACGAGGAGGAGGACAACGAGGAGGAGGACGACGACGACGACATGAGCGAAGGGACAATCGTTCACCCTCAACTCGCGGAATTGAACCCGCGAGTGTTGGATAGTGATGTACAGGTGGACAGCGACATAGATTCCATGCTGTATTTATGTCGCTCGCTATTACCTCTAAAATGTCACGAAATCCTAAAGTTGAGAACCGTACCGACGCCGATACTCTCGGTTTTTAACCGCAAACTTACGGCGTACCTCAACAAAAGGGCGCTATTTCCGCAGATGCGTGACGAGGACGACGACGACGACGACGACATAGATCCCCGCTCCAACTGGTACGAGACGCAAATAGGACTCCTCGATTGCCGTCCGGTCTACATCATCTTCCAAATCGACAGAGACAGTCCGCTGTTGGCGAACGCACCCAACACGACGACCAAAAACGAGGACGGACGTTTGCGTGTCGCCGTCAACGCATTCGTCGATCGTATTATAGCGCACGCGGCTCGACGTCTACCGACCGATTGCGAGACTACTCGCGCCGGTTTTACATACATCAGGTTCGAGGTAGACCGGACATACAATATAATGCGAGAAGACTACGATCGATTCGCCGCTCTCGTGTCCGATCGTATGACAGGATACGACTTACGGCGCAACTGCGGCATGCGTTTCGTCCGTTTCTACGTGTGCGAGCACGGCTTAATACTTAATAAACTAAACGCGAGACGAAAGATGGATCGTCAATTGGACGTCGATCATGCCGACGTGGACCTGATACAAGTCCATAGAGCCGACACTCTCCGCATCGAGGATGGGAGTGTGATCCTGGTCAAATTGACCAACAGGGGAGAGGGCACGCTCGGCGACGTATTCAGGAACGCCATTACAACCGGACGATTAAACCGTTACCGCACCGGTTTCACAGCGGATTATGGATATTTTGATTATCACGCTTCCCCGACAACGGAATATAACACCGTCACGTACTGCCAGGTGTACTCCTCCGCCGCTAAAATGGCTCGTCCGCAGGACTTTGGCGAAACCGCGGCCCATATAATATGTCACGCGTACGAAGACGGTGCGAGAAGATTCAAGAATTTTCGAAACGAAACGCGACAAAACCTTTTCGATCTGGTGTCCTACGTGTGGAACCACGTTCGCACGGGTCACAGACTCCGGATCGAGGAGGTTTTGACATTGGACAACAAACGCCTAGCGACACCAATGTCGGAAAATTTTACGCGTCTCGGGGTTTTCGACGACGCGACTCCATGTTTAATGACAAATCTCCTCACGCGCCCTCGCACCCTTTACAAAATAGAAGCCGAAAGATGGCAAAATTATATAGACGCGACGATATCGAACGATCTCCTCCTTTTAGGATTGGCTCGCGATAATTACAACACCTCCAACGACGACGGATGGCCGACGTCGTCGTTGATACGCCGTTTTATACGAGCGCAATTTCGGACGTACTATTTTGCACACGGCATATCATATAAATATAATTACGCCACAAAAAACAACATGTTCGCCAACCAACTTGAACAATCGTCGGCCGATCGCGGAATAATAAAGGTGAGACCGCATTTAGACGATACGGACTAGTTTCCGTATCCGATATACGCAAAATCAATACCCTCTCACATTTTAGTCCCGATATGGCACGTATGGTCCTGCATAATGGGCATCGAGCAGGCCATAGAAGACACCACGGAGGACGAGTTTGAGATGGAGTACGCCGACGAAGTCCTCCGATGCGTGAAATTTTGGTGCACCATATTCGCCGAATGGTCATTCACGCATTTGGTGTCCTCCGTGCCGAGAAGCGACGAAGAGATTCGACGTACAAGCGCCGAATTGTACGGCAATTATATAGAAGCGTTCTCCGTTCGGACGTTCCTCCGACGTTGCCGCGAGATTTGGGTGGAACACAGCAGCCTAGCAGTAAGAGTGGCGGATACCACCATCGACTCGGAAACAGTTGTACAAAGTTCTCTATCGCCGAGTAACAACTTTGCCATCATTGCCCGCATGGCACTAAAAACGGCCGGTAACGAGCGAGAATATCAAGAGTCGCTGCGTACGTTCGTCGAGGAAAACGTACAACTGTTTCCGATGTATCTAGTGACGCAAAAATCTCATTATTATCTGTGGAAGGTTGTGAAGAAACGTACCGATACGCCGCGGGAAGTGAGAGAGAGGATAGATTCGATAAAACATCAACTAAGGAGAATACGTCAGGATCGAGAGATCCTATTGGACGAGAACGTCCAAGAAGCGTCGTCGTCGTCGTCGTCGTCGTCGTCGTCCCTTGCTTCTCGTCACGTGGACTCGGCCGGGCCGTCCTCGCCACCGTCTCAGATCTCGGTAACTCGTACCGGAACTGTATTTCGGTCGAGTCGATCAACGTCGTCGTCGTGGTCTCCGACCAAAAGACCGATGAATCGTCCGAGGTTGTCGTCCTCCGACGACTCGTCCGCACGAGACGCGCCAATCGTGGGGACGACGGAACTCTCCGCTTCGTCGACAAACTCCGATATGCCGAATCCACCAAAATCGACGAGACGAGTGTCGCGACGGATATCGTCGGGCGATTCAAGCAACGAAAGTGTTCCGAACGCGGAAGAGATTCCGGAGACCAAAATAAAAATGAGGTTGCGCTATTTTAATAGGCAGCAGGACACCGTGTTATTGAAACACGCCATAACCACGGGCAAGATTGTTAATCTCCATTCGTGGTTATGCCTGAAAAGTATAAAGCCTCTCATTTTTACAAAACCGCGATACACTCCGTCCTGCATGCGGTACAGAGTAATGCAGATAGCTGCGGGATTACACGACGCGGATTTCGGCTTTACCTATAAAGAAGAACTGGACATGCTACGAAAATTGGTCCGCGCGCAAATGAAAAGACGGCTAACGATATAAATCGTAATAGCGATGTACATATGTAACATAAGTAATAACGATGTAATTAAACATAATTTTTTTAATAATAAGAATAACAATAACAAGGGCTCTTTAATTTTTAACACAATATATTCCATTCCTCTCAGCCAATAGAGCCACACGCGATGTAATTACGACAATTAAGAAAGACAGAAAATTTTGGAAACTAAGGAATATGTATCCTAATCATACGCTTTGGGAGTATAAACATAGAGAAAAATATTGATTTGTAAGTGTCTGAATAGCTCAGCTGGAAGAGCAGTCGCCCGGCAAGCGGAAGGTCTCGGGTTCGATTCAGCTGAATTTCGGAACAATATTTTTCTCGCTTATTTCTTTACAGGGGAAGTTAGGAGAAGGAACAAAGAGGAATATCTCAGATCCCAACCATAGGATCATAGGATTCAACTTGTAGACTTAGAATTCCTGTGCGTCAACATTATAGATATGTACAATTACATATATATTGCTAGATATTGCTTAAATAAGAATTCGTTACATCATAGGCGGGGGGAGGGGCGGAGCCCCTCCCCCCTGCACCCCCCTCCCCGACTGCTCCTATAACCTGGGGGGCTTCGCCCCCCCGAAACCCCCCGAGTTTTCTTTTGGCTAGGGGGCTTCGCCCCCCAGACCCCCCTTGTAGGTACGGGCTGACCTAGGACGGGTTATGGAGGGCTTCACCCCCCATCAGGGGGGCCAAGCCCCCCCCCCCCCCTTTATCTACTTCTCTGGTAATACTTCGATTTTTTTCAACACTCCCGTTTTCAGTCACTTTTTCACGCTCCATAAACAGTACATTTTGAACATAAATTTTAAGAATTTCAAAGAAAATGGGGAAAACAATTAAAAATCAAAAAACATTGAAAAAAAATAAAGTATTACAATTGAAACAAAATGGACCAAAAAATTTTAAATATAAATTGAAAAAAAGTTGATAAAACAAAAAAGGTGAGGTCCAAAACGCTTTTCTCGCCATTCTCTATCGACTGGAGTACATCTGTCGAGGTCGATTTTCGAGTCCGCATAGCCTACTGGAACTTGGAAAAATTTAGACGAAAAGTAAAAATTAAGATATCGAAGCGCCACCTGGGCCAAAATTTGATTCGTGAAAAAGTTCACTCGATTATAAAAAAAAAAATTTCGAAAAAAAAAAATCGAGATATCAAAGCGCCATCTGGGCCAAAATTCGATTCGCGAAAAAGCTCACTCGATTATGAAAAAAAAAAATTTGGAAAATTTCAAAAAGTATGTAATACACCCATAACCCTAACCTAACCTAACCTTGATACGTTTACCCGCGGCCCAGGCAAATCCGCCATCACCGCCTGAGATGCTGCCGGCCTACACCTGAAGCACGCTACGCATTCGCGTAACACCCTGCGAACCGCTGAACGTGCCGCCAAGGGCCAATAGCGCTGACGCACCGCGCATATCGTGGCCTGCAGTCCCGCGTGCAAGCTCCTAACGTGCTCTCCTCGAATAATTAGCGTTGTAAGAGCGTGGCTTTTCGGCAGCAGCATGGGGTGCACCGCATCCAGCGGCAACGCCGCCCAGCTTATTCTACCTCCAACGCGAATGACGCCACACTCGTCCATAAACGGTGACAATGATAATATGCGACTCCCGCCGCCGATGCTCCGGCCCTCGCCCAAACTGCGATATTCCCCCGGGAACGACCCGCGCTGCACATAACGCACCACGACTTGCATGGCCGCGGTCATCTCCCGATAAGATATCGATGACCCGATCTCCTCAGCCCGTCGCGTACGACCGAATCTCAAACAATATGATATTATTCGCAATATTTTCTCCAGGCTCGAAAATCTCTCCAATAAACCCGAGACTATCGGTCGATCTCCGACCGCCACGGCAGCGATCACTCTTTTCTGCTCGTGCAGTTCTCCCGATATCTCGATGTTTCTAATCGGCCAATGTCCCTCGTTAAGTCGAAGGTACGCCGGTCCTTCCCACCATAGACCAGACACAGCCAGAGCCGCCAAGTCCGCGCCACGCGATAATATATCGGCCGGGTTGTCCGCGGACGGCACGTGTCGTCAATCCGCGCCCTCGGTCAAGCGCTGTATCTCCCCGACTCGATTCGCGACGAACGCGCTCCATTTTCGCGACAAAGACTGAATCCATTGTAATGTAATGGTGGAGTCCGACCACAGAACCACCCCCGCGGCGGGAAGTCCGACCGACTCTCGAACCTTTTCTATCAATTTGGCCAACAGTAGCGCCGCGCTCAGCTCTAAGCGCGGTAATGATATTGCCCTCATAGGCGCGACTCGCGATTTTGAGACCAATAACCGCACTCGGCATTCTCCGGAGTTGTACGCTCTCACGTACACGCACGCACCATAGGCACGCTCGCTCGCGTCGCAAAAGCCGTGCAGCTGCACACCCCCGGCATCGATCACGCGGCCCACGAAACGCGGCACGCGTAACTCACCGAGATTCGTCAATTGCTGTTTTACTCCCAGCCAACGCGTATGTATGTCCTGCGGCAGCGACTCATCCCATCCGACCTGCGTCTGCCATGTGTCTTGCAGAATTAATTTTGCTACTACCGTCAATGGCCCCAGCAGCCCCAACGGATCGAAAAGGCTCGCGATCTCTGATAAAATTGTTCGCTTGGTTATGCAATTGGCAGGCGATCCGCTCTCATAATCGAATTTAAAACTATCGATAACGGGATCCCACGCAATTCCCAGGATCTTAGAGCTCGAGTCCCCGCCCAGAGACACGCTCGCATCCGTCGCGCCCTCCACGTCCTTCAATAATTCTCGGCAGTTTGATGCCCACCTGCCGAGCTCGAACTTTCCGCGCTTCAGTAGCGCAACCGTCTCCTCGCGTACGCGCCTCACCTCCGACAGGGTGTTAGCGCCGTTGAGCAGGTCGTCGACGTAAAAATCCCGGAGCACGCATCCCGACCCGATCGCGAATTCGTCCGCATGTTTTTGTGCCAGGTGCTGAAGGCACCTGGTGGCCAGGAACGACGCCAAACTCGTACCGTACGTGACCGTCAGCAATTCGTATTCGCCGATCGGCGCCCCCGAGTCCTCTCGCCACACTATCCTGTGCAGATGCGTCTGCGATTCGTGCAGCAGTATCTGGCGATACATTTTGATTATGTCCGCCACGAAGACATATACGAATGTTCGAAAACGCATTAATATTGTTATCAATTCTTGTTGAATCACCGGACCTATTCGCAAAGCCTCATTGAGCGAAACTCCCGTGCTGGTTTTGCACGAGGCATCGAAAACCACGCGTAACTTCGCGCATGGACCGGTCCCCTTTATTACTCCGTGATGCGGCAGATATACAGGTTTACCCCCGATCGACCTTGCAGGTGCGACTCTCATGTGCCCCAACAATTGATATTTGCGTAAGAAATTTGCGTAGGAGCGCTTCAAACCCGGATCGCGGTTGAGCCGCTTCTCGAGCGCAAACGCTTTATCGCTGTTTCGCGCGATTCGCCGAGCCGTTGAAATATGTCCTCTTTTAGCGGCAATTTTACGATATATCGGCCTTCATCGTTCGTCGACACGTTCGTCATGAAGTGACTTTCGCAAGCCTGCTCGTCGCGGGTATAACCGTTAGAATCTGCTAATTCCTCGATCCTCCAAAATTGATCAACTCGTTCGTGGAGCTGCGCGTTATTAATTGTCGCGTGTAACGCACGCAATTTGGCGCTCGATCGTGAAGTGCCCCACCCGTACGCCCGGCCAAAATCCAGCCTAGACGTGTTTTTTGTAAAAGAGGGTGCTCGGATGTCGCATGAATTTGGCCCACGCACGCCAGCCGCCAAAATAAGTCGATCCCGATCAATAAATCGATGTCGGAAAATACGTTAAATTTCGGGTCCGCTAGATCGATGCCGGGCGGCAGCCTGAAGGCCTGACGTCTCAGTGTGCTCGCCGGAACTCTATCCGCGATTCGATCGGTGACAACGCAGTCCAGCTCGGCCTCGAACGAACTCAGTCGCGACCGGAATCTGACTCGCGCCATCCGATTTAAGACGGACGTCGATCCGAATATGCCCGATATTGACATTTCCGTAGGCAATGTCTTTAATCTCAACTTCGCCACGAATTTATTTGAAATAAAATTTGCCTGCGCTCCTGCATCCAGCAAGGCACGGCATGACATCCGCGAACCGTCCGCGCCGTAAACGTAAACAACCGCTGTTGACAGTAAGGGCTCCGCGCCGTCACCCCCGACCGCGCTGTGCGCGACCACGACGGCAGGATCGCCCGTAATCGGAGTCGAACCGTCCGCCGCTGAGCCGGCGGCCCGCGAATTCTCAATTCCTCTTCCCTGGTTCGAGAGATGTAGCAGAGTGTTATGCTTCAACTTGCATGTCCTGCAGCCGCTCGACGAGCACTCGGCCGCCACGTGATCACGGCTACGCAAGCAATTTAGACAGAGTTTTCGACCGCGCACCTCACCTATGCGCCGATTTACCGGAAGCGTTAGGAATTCCTTGCAAAAGTATATCAAATGCGCACCCCCGCAATAAGTGCATCTTCCCCCCTCGACCGTCGCATGCAGCGCGCGCCGTCTCGAAGTCGATTGCGCCCGCGAACAAATGTCGGAGCGCTCGGAAGCGCTTGATCCCCCCCCCCGACTCCTCTAAAATCTGACTGCGATGGGCGAGAAAATCAATTAATTCTTTAAATGCGGGCAACTCCGAGCCCCCCAGGGAGGAATGCCACTCCCTAGATGTTACGTGATCTAATTTGGACGTAATTATATGTATTAACAACGCGTCCCATTTGTCGGCGTTGCAGTCCAATGCAGTTAACGCGCGCACGTGTGCCGCCGCACCGTCCGCCAGCTGCCGAATGCCACTCGCGCTTTCTTTCGTAATCGCCGTTAAATCGAATATCGCTTTTATGTGTGTCTGCACGATTACACGCTTATTGTTATAACGCTCTTTTAAAATATTCCACGCAAGGTCGTAATTGTTATTTGATATCTCTAATGTTTTGACGATGTCGAGAGCTGTACCCGTCAACGACGCCCGTAAATATTGAAATTTTTGTATGTCAGATAATGTTTTGTTATTATGTATGACCGAAATAAAAGTGTCATGGAACGGGAACCATTCCTCGTACTTTCCGGAAAAAGACGGTAAATTTAATTTTGGTAAACGGACGTATGTTGCGGCTTCGCTCTCGGATCGCGCTGATACTGGCGTGGAGGCCCGCGGACTATTTTGACCGCTGTCATTTTGCAATAATCGCCGCATTCTCGCGCACAACGAATATACGTTGTCTTCGAACGCGACTCTGTCCTCTATTTCGACCTCGTCTGTTGCCTCTAATTGCGACTGCACCTTGCAGTAATCTTTCCATATTGGGTCTAAGCGCGCGCGCCTCACTTCCAATTGCGCTCGTGCATCGTCATCTACCGCGTTCACGCTATTCACAAACGTTTTTATCCGCGTGCACGAACCCTTTATTATTCCGCGCTTTCTTTTCAGCGCCGCTATCTCTGATGCCGTCACATTTGACGTCGACGCACTCGCGCTACTTGTACCCGGGCTACGGTCGATCGGCATTTTTTTTTCTTTTTTCGGTTTACAAACAATTAATAATGACCGACGCGAATCAAGTATTTGCAAATAAATAAATAATTAGGTCACTTACGCAGCGCAAAAAATACGATTAGTGCAGGCTCAAGTACCGCTTACCCAGTTACGTGTCCTCCATCTCTGCCTGGCGTCACGCCGCCCCTCGAGGTGCCGCTCCGACGAATGTCGTCTCTCCCTGCGTGCAGCTCGGCAGGCCCGGTCACCGTCCTCCAAACTGGCTGTCGTCCTGGTACGTGGCCGACACCCTCGCCGTGTATCCGTACTCAGACTTGAGTCGGTTTCGTCTCCTCCGAGACGCCCGACGCCTCCGGAAATTAATCCGGCTCGAAGGACCAAAATGTTTAATAATAATTTGAGAACTGATGCGCCGGTTGTAAGCCGGCGCGTTCTCTACCCAACGTTTTTTATATTGCGAGATGATGTTCCAGCCGTGAGGCCGTTCCTCTGATTGCAGGATGCAACGAAGGATAGATAAACCCGTGTGGAATATCCACACGGAATAATTATTATGTTCCGCTCCTTGTAGTACAGGATTTATTATTGCGGCGTCCAAGTATACCGCTCGTCTGAGTACAAAAGGTTGTTGTCGATACACGCGCAGGTTTATGTATATTTTCGCCGAGAAGTAAGTACAGAGAAGTGTGTCGGAGAAGCGTTTGCTTCTCTATTTATATTTTGGGGCTATCCCCACGTATTTTTATCCGCGAATCGCGTAAGACCATATTTTCGACTAATACTTATATTTTACGATTGGCTATCTTCTGATCGTCGTTGTAAGTACGAAACAGCTTGTGAGAGAAATTCTTTTCCGAAGGATGACGATAATGCGCAATTCGCACATTGGATGTACTCCACTTTCCCTCTCCTAAGCTTTCCTCTCCCCACAGGTGCTTATTGGTGCAGTGACTCCGATTTCGATGAAGAACAATTCATAAGAATTGTAAAGGGAAGTTCCCCGGGCACCCTTATCCCTATGTTCCTTCCTGGCTACGAACACCCGGTAGGATTCCCTGTGGAAATCCTTCAAGCTTTCCTTCCTCCCCCCTCCACCAGAATCACCAACATCCAATGACTTCGACGCACACAAACACACACACACATACACATAAATAAGTAGCT